AACTTACCCTCGTTGGCCTCAGGTGACATCAGCGCAGAGAGGAAGTTCGCACACAATGGGAGGATTCTCAAATTCCTTTCAATAAATCCATTAGGATGATCGAAACTGCAACGTTGTTGGCATGATTTCGTTCAACACCAACCTGTTTCTTTACTCTTTAAAGTTGACCATTATTAAATGATTATTTTTTTCTAAAGGGAAAAATCCATAGGTGAAGTGCATACACTTGGTCTCAAAATTACCTTTTCACAAGAAAACACTGCTGAGTCCGAATTCTTGAAATCGATCAAATTGCTGGTCTTAAAGTTTCGTTAAAAAATGTAAACATACACGCATCATGAACATTTAATTTTCCTTACAGAAGTTTCGAATTGAGTAGATGAGTATCAGTGGAGGAGGCATGAATGATCGATTGTCGATATTTCCCCCTTTCGAAGCTATGGCAAAGAATCAATTATTGAAGCGTTTTTTGCGAAAATCCCATTTACCGATCTGCAAAATCTGAGGGGTGAGATTATATACTTCTCCAACAAATAATCCATAATTTACCAAATACTGGAAACTTTATCGAACCAAATGATCGTCTTAAAATAGCCTGAAAGTATGTGGTGCATCGTTTTTATAAAAATTCGTGTTTGGGAATGACTAAACTTTAAGGACTCGCATCCTTTTGGTTGTTTTAAAGCCCAGCCTCAAGGTCACGAATTGGATTTTGAAAAAATATAATGAAAATATTATAATGAAAAAAAATCATAAAAGATGTAAAGATGATATGGGAACTACATGTGATGAAGCTAGGCTATTAAGATAAGCCTCCAGTTGAACATAATTTAAAATGAGATAATTTTAACACAGCTTGGAGGATTCCGTATCATTTGGTACAAAGATTACTCAGAAATTCTAAAAATTACCCTTTACGAACGTTTCAAAGTCAGGAAATAATAAATCGGGAATTGGAGCAAAACGTCGCTTAAGGGTAGAGAAACGATTTATTTCAAACATTTATAGCATTTTTACATAAATATACATTATTGCCTAAAATTTTTATCCAATATCAAGAAGCAATTAGCACTAAAACTGAAAATCGGAATTTTTAACTAGAATCAGTATTTTGATTGTACTCTTGACGCTATTGCAGAATACCAATTGTTCGGATTATGGCTTTCAGAGACAAGAGACCCTCCACTAGTATCTTGGCCATGGTGGAAGCTTTTACTTTCGGGACTTCAGCATTCTACTGTTGATTTACCTACATGGTTGATGTTTAACAACGTGTTGGCAGTTTCGTTTCGCAAACAAGCCGAAAATGGCCGAAGTTTAGGAAACTTGTTTGGCTCATGACGTCACCCGAAGCTCATCATCGACCATGTAGGTAGGTCAACAGCCGAAATTAGGGTGATGACTGTTGCTCCCTTATAATTGTCAATAAGGAACTGTTGAATCCCCGAAAGTAAAAGCTTCCACCTGTCGCCAAGAGGCCAGTGGAGGGTCTCTTGTCTCTGATGGCGTTGAAGGATGATTTTTATCGCTGTAAAAATTTTAAGGAAGTTTAATTCGAAATGGTCGTCGTAGATGGCGTTTCTGATGTTACGTGACTTGTTTCTGTTTCTACATCATCTGGGGGCCACGTTGGTGGCGGGTAGGACCCCTCTTCGTAAACTTTTCCCAATCGAGGATCCTTAGGTGTGATGCTAAGACCTGGAATGATTGTCGTCCCTCTCCGTTTCCTGATTCTGCGCAGTTTCTTCGTTAGAGGAGTTGTCGTGATGATTTTCATTCGCAATTTCATCAAGCGCGACTCTTTGTGGCAGTAAACCACGTTCTTCTCGTCGTAAGCTGCTGCAACTCGAAACCTGCAATGACGTCATAAATGAAAACGCAATGCGATTTTGAGCATTGCAAATGGAAAGCAGACCAACTGGACTGCATTTTGCAATTTAGAACTATAAATTCTGGCTCTTCTGGAAAAACACTTATGTGCATAGGCAAACTAATGGCACATACGTTGTTTTTAAACCGGGGTTTTAATTTATAGCCTCAAATTGCAAAATGTGGTCCAACTAGCATCGACATCATTAATTGATAATACTTTACGAATTCCCTCATAGGCGAATTTTATTCGCACCAGTTGGGCACAGTTTTCCGGAAAATGTTTGGTATCGAGTTTTGTAAACTATTTGGAGTAAAAATCAGATCATACTTGCAACCAAGGTTGGAAGGCACAAAACTGCTGTTTGCAGTAAACGATCACAGCACAGCAAGCTGTCCAGTTTAGAATCCAAGCCCAAGAGCTCAATGCAAAAAGCAGGATGATGATATGAACTGCTGCCAATAGCTTCGATCAAAATCTCCTTTGGGAGAGAATTCCAATTTCGGTTTCCACCGCTCGGTACCGTCGATCATATTCGGTCGCGAAAATTTTCCCACTATTTCGCCCGTAGAAAGCATCAACTCATCTGGAGGGTGGCCATCTCAATAAATACGTAGGATTATGTAAAATTCTACTGATTGTCATTGACCATATTTCTAAATGTGTATTTCCTTAAAAATAAGAATGATTCCGAAAAAAAAATTGAGAAAAATTGTGATCAAAGGAGAGAATTTTTCTTGGGTGAATTATTTTGAAAAATCTTTCAACTCAGGTCGCCCCTAACTTTTGAACCTTTAACAAAGTACCTCATTGTGCAATGTGCACGATTAAGAATACATACCTGTAGTCATAATTTGGTTCTAAGCAATCGGCCCAGAAAGAATATGGATTTGTCATGTCATCAGTGTACCTATGCCATAATTTGCAGCGGCAGATTTCTTTATGCTTCTTGTCTAACTTTAGATATTCAATCACGAAATATTCAATACTATGATTTGGCGGCATAACAAAATTCCAATCCACCTTCACAGTTGCGTTTGGCAGCAACGTCACGTTAACATCACTTGGAGCTGCAAACCCTATTAAAATGAAATATAATATCTCTTTAAGTTTACGTCTCATTCATTAAAATCATTCTGGTTTAAATATTGATCCAAGACAAAATTATATGAAAACCGCAATTTTTCTCTTGCATTAGAAAATTTAAATTATTGAATTAAATAAGAAAAAACTGGTAAGTTTTTGAAGAAAAAATGAGTGTCAAAGATTAGATGGAAATAATTTATTGTCTTCGATTTTTTTAAAGCAGCTCTTATCACTTGGCGCATCACTTACTGTTGGACATTTTTTTCAAACAGGGCTCGAGATAGAAATTTGGAAAATATGAATGCTCAAAATTCTATTTAAATATTTTAGAATGCCAACATTCATACGAATTTGTTTAACGTGATAAGATAAATTTATCTATTATCTTGGCACAGTGCACATAAAAATTTACATTTTAGGCTCTGAAAACAGTAGCCAGATATTCTGGATGGATCTGAGACTTTCAGATTAAATTGGACACATTTATGGTTAAAAAAACTATGTGCAAATAGATACACTCAAAAGAAACTTATCAGCACGCAAACACTATCCATATAGTTCCTTTTGATGTAATTCATTTTCACATAGTTCTTTTTAGCCTAAATAGCTTCGATCGTCTGCAAAACTAATCGACGGTGCTTATAATATCAATTGAGCCTATACTCACCACCTGATGTCGATTTGGAATATGACTCGCTTGGGGAAGATTTTCTTTTTGTATCAGATGAGCAACAGGTGGACTTTGAGTGGGCGCTGACCTTGTTAATTTCAGTTGTA